CTGTGTATGAAGGTATTTTAAAAAGGACCCCTCTTGCGTTGCTTGCTCCTTTGCTTGCTCTACCTTTCGTTTGAGGAACTGGGCTCCAGAAGGTTTTTTTTAACAGCCATACTGATCCAGCTTTTACAATATACTATCTGTAAATCACAGTAAATGACTAAAACACACACAGGTACATAATTCATCCCACTGCCTGATTTAGGTCAATGATATGTCAAAATAATCCAGCAAATAGCTGAATTAATTTTCAAATGAGAATAATGGTGTCACTGTCAGGTGTCAGTATCCAGTATAATCAAACCCTGTGATCACACTATCAGCCCATACACCGACAGGCACTTTAACCACTTCCCATCCGGCCAATGTATATAAACAGCCTGAGAGGGGAGCAGTGCAGGGGCGGGTGGTCGTTTAGAAACGTCCCCCCTCTCCCTGCTTGTGCATGCTCCCTGGGAGTGTGCAGCACCGTGATCCAGTGCCCGCTGTTTCCTCTGGACACAGCGGAACACCGATCATTGTACGGGACCTCTGTGTGAGGTCCCGATCATGTGATCACTGATTGGCCAATCAGTGATCACATGAACAGTAGTAAGCAAGATGTCACTTCTGTCATCATTGCTTACTACGTGTGAAATCTGTGAAAGATCACAGAGGTCACGTGATGAGGAATGCAGCCAGAGAGAAGGATAAATGATTGCTTTTATCGCCTTTATGGGTGTAAAATCAATCAGTGTTAAATAAAAAAAAAAAAATCTTCATCACCCCCCACAAATAGTACAGTGTCATTACAGTGACACTGTACTGCTAGGGTGACAGTATGTTAAAAAAAAAACCCATATATAATAATATAAAAAAAATAAAAATGTAATTAAAAATTTTTTTAAAAAATTATAATTTTTGGTTATAAACTAATTTGTGTAATTTTTTTACTAAAAGATAACTGAATACATTTTGGCCAAGATTTTTTTATTTATTATTTATTTGCAAAATTTTATAAGAAAATCAATTTTTTTTCAAAATTTTTGGGCTTTCATTTATATAGCAAAAAAAATAAAAATCCCACTGGTGAATAAATACCACCAAAATAAAGTTTTATCTGTCTCAAACAAATGCTAAAAAAGGTATATAGGTTCAGTGTTGCATGACCGCGCAATTGTCATTCAAAGTGTGACAGTGCTGAAAGCTGAAAATTGGCCTGGACAGGAAGGGGGTGAAAGTGTCCGGACTTGAAGTGGTTAATTCAGCTGTCAGGGTGGGACTTTATTGAGGTACAGTCTGTCCCTTGGTGGAGTCTGCCTGCCTCCCTCCCTCCCAGCCTTGTCTAATCAATGTCACAGTCTGTCTGTGGCTGGCAGTGGCAAGGTGACACAGTTGCAGTGAGTGGAGCATGCATCCACACTCTGACAGTTCCCAGGCTGGAATTCCCCAGTAAATGGGGGGACTCAGGGGAGATAAAACACTGTGACAGCAGGCAGCCCAGCCCTCACACACACACAGGATACTGGAACTGAACAATCCCAGCCACATAGTGAGTGACAGATCCGACACAACACAGAGACACCACCAGTCCACTACAACACTGACACACACAGATCCGCAGCACCTGTCAGCATGCACTAGAAGAGCAGGCAGAAGGCTGTGGGATTTTGATGATGTCATCACAGTAACTCATCACTCACTGACATTGCACAGCACACATGATGACTGGCCAGTCAGGTCACACACAGACACGAGACATCAAACCGCAGATCTGCTGATGAAAGGGAAGAGAAGGGATGCCTGGATCAGAACTCAACAGTGAGCAGCTGCCAGCCTCCAGAGCTCTGAGGAAGGGGGTTTAGCTCCCGAAACGCGTTAGCCTATCTGCATCATTAGACACAGATGCATTGTGACTATCTTTGTGGACTACTTCTACTGCCTTTTATCATGTTGGTTTGTGAGTATATATCCTCTTTTTATTTATTAAATACGTGTTATACCACGATAATGCATGATGAGAGTGCGCCCTTGTTTGTTCTTTACACTTTGTTCATATTTCATGTCTAAGGTTTACAACCACTTTAATTCCACAAAGGGTGAATTATTCTATAGATGTTCAGACATAAGAGCCAGTTCCAGTTACCTAAAAGTATTCCCATACCAGTTTTTATTCCAATCCTCCAGTGCACTAGATACAAAAATGTTCATATTACCCACTAGTAGGGTGTATACAGTATATATTAAATCCTTGTTGGGGAAACTTAACCACTTCACCTGGCTAGACATTATATGATGTCCTGGAGGTTAAGGAGTTATACTGGAATTATGTTTGCACTTGCAGGCATCATCCCAGGGTCAAAATTTACAATAGCCGATGCCCTGTAATGCAGATGTGTATACACATATACATATTTGTGAAATGTGTAAAAACTGGTCTGGTGTTGAAGTGGTTAAAAATAATTACTCACATAGCTGATACAGCTTCCTCAGCTTTCACTGCCACATGCTTGATCAAAAAAGTGGAGAACATATTGGATCCCTTCTGTTCCTATTATCCCCCAACAAACACTGCATTGAAATCATCATGCAGCGTCCCAGACATCAATGCAAGTATCACATTTCAATAATATAAAAGTAGTTCACTAATTAATAATTCTATATTCTAGTTCAAACATACAGTGGTGTATTAGGTTTGAAAAGGTAAATGATTGAATTAGCATGAGCATTTTCTATTAGTTCCATTTGCCAAATGCATAAAAAGATGGAATATATAATAAAATGGAAGCTACAATCTACCTATTTTTCACTCCATAAGACGCACCTAATTTTCAGAGGAGGAAAACAAGAAGAAAGAATATTCTGAACCAATGGACTGCAGACATAGTACTGGAAATGACCAGAGACTGCGGATGTATTATAGGAGATGACCAGAGACTGCGGACACAGTACAGGAGATGACCAGAGATTGCGGACATAGTACAGGGGATGACCAGAGACTGCGGATATAGTACAGGGGATGACCAGAGACTGCAGACATACTACAGATGACCAAAGACTGTGGATATAGTACAGGGGATGACCAGAGACTGCAGACATAGTACAGGGAATGACCAGAAACTGTGGACATACTACAGGAGATGACTAGAGACTGAGGACTTAGTACAGGGGGATGACCAGAGACTGCGGATATAGTACAGGGAATGACCAGAAACTGTGGACATACTACAGGAGATGACTAGAGACTGAGGACACAGTACAGGAGATGACCAGAGACTGTGGACTTAGTACAGGGGATGACGAGAGACTGCGGATATAGTACAGGGGATGATCAGAGACTGCAGACATAGTACAGGGAATGACCAGAAACTGTGGACATACTACAGGAGATGACTAGAGACTGAGGACATAGTACAGGAGATGACCAGAGACTGTGGACTTAGTACAGGGGATGACGAGAGACTGCGGATATAGTACAGGGGATGACCAGAGACTGCAGACATAGTACAGGGAATGACCAGAAACTGTGGACATACTACAGGAGATGACTAGAGACTGAGGACATAGTACAGGAGATGACCAGAGACTGCAGACTTAGTACAGGGGATGACCAGAGACTGCGGATATAGTACAGGGGATGACCAGAGACTGCAGACATAATACAGGAGATGACCAGAGACTGCGGACATAGTACAGGAGATGACCAGAGACTGTGGACATACTACAGGAGATGACCAGAGACTGTGGACATACTACAGGAGATGACCAGAGATTGCAGACATAGTGCAGTGACATAGTACAGGTGTCAGGTACCTACCTACGGTAGCTCTAGCGCTCCACAGACCGGCTTTCCCCAGTCTGCTTGTTCACCAGAGCCCCTCATGGTGGGGATGGACTTGGAGCAGACTGAGACCCGGTTGCGGCCCCTGAGTACACCCAGCTGTGGTAGAGCGAACCGCCAGTGGCAAGTAGCAGGATGAGAGCCTGATGTGAAGAGGCAGAGCGGTCTGTGCAGGATGGATGGACAGAACACACTGGAACAATAGCGGAGTCAGACAGGCCGGGTCAGTAACGGTGGAGGTAGAGCAGTACAGAGCAGCAGGCCAGAGGGTTGTCAGGTCACAGGCCAGGTTCAGCAGCAGGAGATCAGACAATCGGGAACAGGCAGAAGAATGGTCAAACGAGCCAGAGGTCAGGGCAGGAGAAGGCCAGCAATGGTAAGGATCAAGCAGGATTTGGCAACAACAGGAACTCTCTCAAGAACAGAAACAACAAGGAACAAGACCATACGGCAATGTGAGCATTGCAAGAGCTGGTTTAAATAGCCCGCCTGGCGCCGACAGCCGCACCTGGGTCCTAGTGCCTGTCCAGCGCCGTCATCGGTGACAGGCGTGCCTGGGTCCTAGTGCCCACCTGCCTGTATGTCTTGTTAGGATCCTACGCATGTGCAGATTTGTGCGCTGAGGCGAAACTTGGAATCCCTGACAACAGGAGACCAGGATGACCAGAGACTGTGGACATAGTACAGGAGATGACCAGAGACTGCGGACAAAGTACAGTAGATGACCAGAGACTATGTACATACTACAGGAGATGACCAGAGACTGCGTACATAGTACAGGGGATGACCAGAGACTGCGGACATAGTACAGGAGATGACCAGAGACTGTGGACTTAGTACAGGGGATGACCAGACATTGCAGACATAGTACAGAAGATGACCAGAGACTGTGGACACAGTACAGGAGATGACCAGAGACTGTGAAACAACTACAGGAGATGACCAGAGACTGCGGACATAGTACAGGGAATGACCAGAAACTGTGGACATACTACAGGGAGATGACCAGAGACTGAGGACATAGTACAGGAGATGACCAGAGACTGCAGACTTAGTACAGGGGATGACCAGAGACTGCGGACATAGTACAGGAGATGACCAGAGACTGCGGGCACAGTACAGGAGATGACCAGAGACTGCAGACATAGTACAGGGGATGACCAGAGACTGCGGACACAATACAGGAGATGACCAGAGACTGCGGACACAGTACAGGAGATGACCAGAGACTGCGGACACAGTACAGGAGATGACCAGAGACTGCGGGCACAGTACAGGAGATGACCAGAGACTGCGGACATAGTACAGGGGATGACCAGAGACTGTGGACATAGTACAGGGGATGACCAGAGACTGCAGACACAGTACAGGAGATGACCAGAGACTGCGGACACAGTACAGGAGATGACCAGAGACTGCAGACACAGTACTGGAGATGACCAGAGACTGCGGACATAGTACAGGAGATGACCAGAGACTGCGGACATAGTACGGGATGACCAGAGACTGCGGACATAGTACAGGGGATGACCAGAGACTGTGGACATAGTACAGGGGATGACCAGAGACTGCAGACACAGTACAGGAGATGACCAGAGACTTTGAACAAAGTACAGGGGATGACTAGAGACTGCAGATATAGTACAGGGATGACCAGAGACTGCAGACATAATACAGGAGATGACCAGAGACTGCGGACCATTCCGCTGCTATCGCCTAGGCGATTGGAAGCAGAAATTGTCCTCCCTCCATGTAGTCTTCTGTGACACATGACAGGTCCCAGAAGACTATGGGGCCATTCACAAAGCGCAGCACTTCTCGCGCATGCGCAGTGGGCACCCGGTTGTGAAGCCACAAGCTGTTGTAGCCGGGTGCCCACTCTGAAGATGCCGGCGCCGAGGGAGAAGATGGCCGGTGAAACCAGCGGTGATGACGACACCACTGGATTGAGGAACAGGTAGAACCAAGGAGCAGGTTCTGCTGCACAGAAGAGCTGAGCGGCCAGCCCAGTATTGTAACACAGCGGCAGCGACAGGGGGGGGAATACCGGGCCGGCCGCTTCATATTCGCTCCATAAGACGCACAGACATTTTTCCCGAAAAATACGGTAATCCTTGGCAGATGTCATTTCTCTGTGTATCCAGAAAGCATTACTCACCAACAAATATTGTACATTGATTGTAAATATCATATTCTGAATAAAACCTTTTTTATTTTTTACTCGTATTCAATACTTCTTTTATTGCAATGCAGCTCTATAAACTGGATTGCCTAAGAGGTGAAACTGGTTTGCACATGGTATTTTAGCATGTTTTCATGTGAAAACTTTTTTTATTTTACTTGATTTGCTAAATTATTAGCACTCCCATTATGTCATAAGTGAATGTTTCTGTGTGTGCAAAATAGATACATAAAACATATTGCTTTCAAAGTAGCACACATCTAGTGCACATGTGCAGCTGATTCATCCATTAGTTTCAGGTATTAAAATGGGCGATGAAGTGTGAAATTAGACAACTAAGTTTCCCCAGCCGAAAGTAGGTATTATATGGCTACTGGCAAGCAAGCTGGAGCCTTTTATAAAAGTTTTTAGACTGTATCTTGGGTAAGTTTTGCCTGTTTTCCAACACAGATTCACTGGTAAATTAAATTGGCATTAAAAATTTTCCAAAAACTATAACTTATCTGAATAGTTTTGAGAGTATTACATTTTTATACAACTACAATAGAAGAGGGTTCAGAGGGCTCATGAGAGCTTACAATAATATTTTTAGTAGTCCAAGCTAAAACATGATCTATGTGGTATAAGCGTGCAGTATGTCAATCATCAAATTGTAAAATGTTTTTTTTTCAAATGATTTAAGCAGTAATGGACATTGGACAACTACATAGGTCTAAGCAAACTTTATCTAAGTAACTTTGGTGGTTGTAATATACCCAGCCCTCACATTTACTGGCAATTCTGGGAAATGTTTTATTTACCCAGAAGCAAGTATGTTTTTTACTGCTATAGAAACTGACACTCATAGAACAGTGTCCGCCATTAAGAATTATAATGTAACCATGTTAATATTGCTTCATTGTACCTTCCATTGTTTATTCATAGCAAGTCAAAGGGGTGACTGCTGCACATGATGTCAGTTTAAGCAACTTTGCAAGTTAAAGTGGTTGTAAACCCTTACATATATCCAGTGAAGTGATTGGTCTCAGGTGGTCCACAAAGATTAACCAAATCCCCCTGCATACCTATATAAGATGTACCTGTTCATCTGAAGTCTTTTATTTTCTATATATGTTCAAAGTCCACAATTTATAAACCTTGTGCATTCCAAGTGGCCATTTTGACTATTGTTTGGATTTGTATCCTGTCATCCCTTGCTGAAGCAGGCTGTGAGGTCTCTGCAATGAGGTGTTGAAGCAGTGGAATTTATTTGAGCCCATGGAGGCAATAAAATGGTGCTTTTTATTCATCTGATAAATGTGGTCTGGCAATATTTTTCTAACAATAAATCAGTTATTAGCAGTATTACACTATTTTACATTTCTTTCCCTTGCACTGCTGTGGAGTTTGGTGAGAGGATAAGGCAGGAGCGAGTGAAAGAAACACCCCAAGTTCTACATGGTGGAAAGGAGTCCTGAAGGCTTAGAGGGGGCTTAGGATCCCTATACATCCTAAAAGGTGTATTACTCACCTTCATCTGGTGAGTGTGGCTGATATTGGTTTTTTTCACTGGTGATTGGTGGAAGCACTATCTCGGTTTGGACATTTGACTTTTTTCACCATTTGTTTGGGGAGAAAGGACTTTTTCTTATACATTTTTTATTGATTTTGACATTTTTTTTGGTACTAATATGTTTTGAGGGTGACCTTTATTGATTGTTTCACTTTATGGTGTTTAAATTATTGATTGAAGCAGGGTGTTAATTTGCGCTGTTTTTTGTTTTCTTAATTTTTTGGGTTATTTTACCTGTGCACAGCAGCAATCTATTACCTGGGTGTGAGTTTTGGAGCTATTCCTGTTCGCTGGGGTTTTGTGTATATTTAATAAAAAGCACTGACAGTGTACTAATGGCACTGAGCAGGAAGGGGTTAACATGTGGGTTGATCAAAGGGTAACTATGTGCTGTGTGCCATTTATAACTGTGTGCTTTGTTTATGCTTCACTGTAAGCACACTGCTTTGCATGGCTGTGATATGCACAGCCATGCAAAGTAGTGTGCATAAGCTGACAGGGAGGAGAATTGTTTTGTTTACAAACAGTTCTCCTCCCCGTCGGAGATCTTTGGCAATCACCGGGTGCCGGCAAGTAATCACCTGCAGGAACCCAGTGATTGACAGCCTCAGCCGCGACTGGTGGCATGGGTAGGGCGCGCACCTTGCACCTGCCCCCTACCCAGAAATGAAAAATCACATATATATGCGTGATTTTGTGCTCCACAGCTGCCCTGTAGCAATATTTATTTTGCTGCTGGTTTCCTGCTATGTCTATTTTTACCAATAATTTGTAAACACTTGTCTTGTTTTCATTCCTTGTTTCCTTAAATGTTTGGTGACACATTTTAAAAAGTGCAACACTAAAAAAAATAACATTCCTTTTTTATATAATTTTGCTATGCTTTCTAATATAAACAACATTTTAGTGTTATAGAAATGATAGAATTCATTTAAATTGTTTTCTGTTTTCCAACTTATATTATATTTTATATTTGTTTCATTTGGTAGGTAATGCAGAGACTGCTGCTTATCATAGCTCTTAATAATTGTCTTGTCTAGCTGAATCAAAAGCCAGCAATCACCTTTCAGGAACCCTTTCTCCTTGTTATGTCTTGACTGTGCACTTTTTGGCATTTCAACTTGAAATGTGTGTAAACACAGCTCTTTTTGCATGGACAAATGTTCACACAAACTAAATTGGTAGAAAAATTGCACAGGATTGAATCATGTTAGTGCATGCAAATAATTTCTTGAAACAAAAATGAATGAACAGAAGGCTGTGCACCTTATTTTTTAAATATATGCAAATATCATTTGCTGCATAAAAAGCCCTAGTTCATAGTAGCCAATCATCAATTTTGTTTAATTGTTCTGATTGCTGTCAACTGATTTTGTTTAAATCTCATTGGCTTAAATATATTGCATCATTTACACATTGTTCTTACTGCTGTCATGTAAACAAACTTACATGTTAAATGTATTACAGGTCCAATCATTTACCATCACAATGCACAATATAGAAATGATTTACTAAAGCTGGTCATAAATTATACCATTTTCTTGTTCAACTTCCTTTAGATTTACCTTCAACTCTCTAGTGCAAGAGTCTGCTTGATTTCATATAAATTGAAAGTGTTTAGGTTTGCCCTCATAATACAGGTGAAACTCGAAACATTTAGAATATTGTAAAAAAGTTCATTTATTTCAGTAATGCAACTTAAAAGGTGAAACTAATATATGAGATAGACTCATTACATGCAAAGCAATATAGTTCAAGCCGTGATTTGTCATAATTGTGATGATTATGGCTTACAGCTCATGAAAACTCCAAATCCACAACCTCAGAAAATTACAATATTACATGCAATCAATAAAACAAGGATTGTCCATAGAATAATATCGGACCTCTGAAAAGTATAAGCATGTATATGTACTCAGTACTTGGTTTGGGCCCCTTTTGCAGCAATTACTGCCTTAATGCGGCGTGGCATGGAAGCTATCAGCCTGTAGCACTGCTGAGGTGTTATGGAAGACCAGGATGCTTCAATAGCAGCCTTCAGCTCTTCTGCATTGTTCGGTCTCATGTCTCTCATCTTTCTCTTGGCAATGCTCCATAGATTCTCTATGGGGTTCAGGTCAGGCAAGTTTGTTGGCCAATCAAGCACAGTAATCCCATGGTCATTGAGCCAGGTTTTGGTGCTTTTGGCAGTGTGGGCAGGTGCCAAGTCCTGCTGGAAAATGAAGTCAGCATCCCCATAAAGCTCTTCTGCGGAAGGAAGCATGAAGTGCTCCAAAATCTCCTGGTAGATGGCTGCATTGACCCTGGACTTAATGAAGCACAATGGACCAACACCAGCAGATGACATGGCTCCCCAAATCAACACAGACTGTGGAAACTTCACACTGGACTTCAAGCATCTTGCAGTGTGTGCTTCTCCATTCTTCCTCCATACTCTGGGTCCTTGGTTTCCAAATGAGATGCAAACATTGCTCTCATCAGTAAAGAGGGCTTTGGACCACTGAGCAACAGACCAGGTCTGTTTTTCTTTAGCCCAGGTAAGACGCTTCTGACATTGTTTGTTGTTCAGGAGCGGCTTGACAAGAGGAATACAACATTTGAAGCCAATGTCCAGTATCCGTCTGTGTGTGTGGTGGCTCTTGATGCACTGACTCCAGCCTCAGTCCACTCCTAGTGAAAGTCCCCAACACTTTTGAATGGCCTTTTCCTGACAATCCTCTCCAGGCTGCGGTCATCCCTGCTGCTTGTGCACCTTTTTCTTCCACACTTTTCCCTTCCACATAACTTTCTATTGATGTGCTTTGATACAGCACTTTGGGAATATCCAACTTCTTTTGCAATTACCTTTTGAGGCTTTCCCTCCGTATGGAGGGTGTCATTGATCGTTTTTTGCACAACTGTCAGGTCAGCAGTCTTTCCCATGATTGTTACTCCTACTGAACCAGACTGAGAGACCATTTGAACCTAGAATATTGCACCTTTTCACAATATTCTAATTTTCTGAGATTGTAGATTTGGGGTTTTCATGAGCTGTAAGCCATAATCATCACAATTATGACAAATCATGGCTTGA